AGTTCAGTCCTTGAAGTTGCAGGGTTCAAAAGAAGCCATGCTGACTTTTTTTTGCTTGTTCGAAGTGGTAAAGCTGGCAAACTAGTTGTACTTATATATGTTGAAAACCTGATTATTACATGAGCAAATATGAATGAAATCAAGGCTCTTAAGCGGTCTCTTCATCTACAATATACCATTAAAGACTTGGGAGCATTGAATACTTCCTTGGAATTGAGGTAGCTACTTCTTTGAAGGGATTATTCTTAAATCAAAGGAAGTATGTTCTGGATCTTCTAGATGAAGCAAACATGATGGAGTGCAAAATTGCTTAAACTCCCATAATGAGCAAGCTTTAGTTACATGATAAAGGTGAACCTTTCTCAAACCCTAGTGTTTATCAACAAATGGTTGGGAAACTCTTTTATCTCACCATTACTAAGCCTGATATCTCTTACTCAGTAAGCCTGGCCAATCATTTTATGCACTCTCCTACATTAGTTCACTAGGAAATCGTCAAAAGAATACTTCGATATCTCAAGAGCTCAGTGGGTAAGGGAATAACCATGAAGACAATGGTTTCAATCGCATCATGGCCTACACCGATGCTGATTGGGCTGGAAATGCACTCGATCGAAAGTCTACCATGGGTTTTTGGACCTTTGTTGGAGGGAATCTTATCACTTGGAAAAGCAAGAAACAAACTGTAATTGCACAATCCAGTGCAAAAGCTGAGTATAGGGCCGTGGCAACAATAGCCAATGAACTAATATGGTTAAAGGGTCTTCATTCTAACCTTGGTATCACCAGCGAGACACCAATGTCTTTGTTTTGTGACAACCAAGCTGCCATGCATATTGCCTCCAATCCTGTGTTCCATAAAATGACAAAACATATGGAATTTAATTGCCATTATATTCATGCTCAAGTTTAATCCAAAGTGATAGACACAGTGTTCACACGAGGTCACGATCAACTTGTTGATCTCTTCACGAAAGCCCTAGACTCTACACAGTTCTAGTGATTGTTGTGCAAGCTTGGATCAATCAATCCCCTTGATCCAACTTGAGGGGGAGTATAGTGAAACCGATTATTGGAATAGATCTCAAGGATAGGTTGTAATCATCACTTTAGCTAAGTCATGAGATAAAGTGATATCTATAACCTTACCTTCTTGTCATCCCATACCTTGTCTTTCATTCTTACCATTTTGTCAATCATTTTCCCTTATTTCTGAGATCTCTTTTTCTTGTAAATGATTATTAGTTTTGTCCAGTTGCTAGGGCTTAATTCATGGGATTGTGTAGTGGTGGTTAGCCTACTATTCTTGTAGTCCACTTCTTTGGCTCTCTATAAGAGTTACCTCCTCTCTTGTAAAGGCTCTTATAATGAAACAGGGTTAATTATACTAACACCCCCTGAGGTTTATCGTGTTTTCACAAAACCCTCTCACATTTAAAACATAACACTAACACCCCTTGAAGTTCTAATTCACTTTCACATAACCCCTTCAGGGCTGACATCACCTTAAAATAATTTCTTAAAAACAAATTTGCCCCACTATTAATTACTTTAAAAAAATAAGAAAGGCTTTTTAAAAATACATATAATAATAACCAATATAAAGAAAATAGATTTTTTTTTTTTTTTGTTGGACTTCAAAAACATACATTAACCATAAAAAAATAAAAAGAACTAAAAATAGAAAGTCATCTATGCATCTTCGGATCTTTCTCTCAAAAAAAAAAAAAAATTTCTGCTCTTGTCCTCAAATCGCCACTTCCGTCTCTTTGTCAACCTCCTTTACTCCTTGTTCACCCAAACTGAAACCAATTTCAACGAGAAAACGATATGGAAGGAAGAGTACCTGATTTGGCTTCTTGGAAGAAATTACCCGACCACATTCCTACTTTGAAAAAGATTTGTTCTGCTAAGGTTTTTCCAATTAAGAAAAGAGGATTGGGATATGAATTAACAATGTAGAGGAAGAAGGTAACAAGATTTCTTCAATTTTCTTTTATTTCCTATTATTGTTTAATGTAAGATTTTAATTTGAATTTTTATTCTATTTATTTATAAAGGATTTTTGATAAAGTAAGTAACAATTAGGACAAAATTGTCTTTAAGAAATTATTTTAAGATGATGTTAGCCCTAAAAGGGTTATATGAAAGTGAATTAGAACCTCAAGGGATATTAGTGTTATGTTTCAAACGTGAAAAGATTTTGTGAACACATGAAAAACTTCAGGAAGGTGTTAGTGTAATTAACTCGAAATATACAAAATCATTGAAGCGAAAAGGTAACACCACACCAAGCCCAGCGTTAGCCCCACAATCTTGCTCTCCAACATGTACCAGCGGCCCGTTATGATCTCCACCGGCGTCGACGCCCAGGGCCAGCGCATCGACCCCCGCCAGATGCAGCGGCACTTCGAGTTTTCCCTCGCCCTTCCTTTTCTTCTTCTTTGTGTCAAAAATTGAGAACCCCTTTGCCGTACTTGCTTTAATTCGATGTTTGTTTATTCAACAGAAAGCGCTTTGATTTTGTATTGTTTTTATTGGTTGGGTTGTTTGATTTATCATTGAATTATGTGTTGTTTCTGTGGGATTAGGGTTTTTTGTTATGCAGATTCCCCATTTGTGAAATTTTCAGAATTGGTGTGATTAAAAAGTGCATTTTAATATTTTATCATCTTTAAACTTTTAGGGAGTAATTTAAACTTTTAGTTGTTAATTATATGATCTTAAACCGCCGAATGGCTGTGAAATAGTTGAAAACCTTATAAGAGTGTGTGTGTGCAAATCCTTTTGTATTCTGTATAGCTTATAAGAGTGTATGGGAATTTGCAGGAGTTTTATGGAGTTGAGCAAGTATGGCGACATTGAAAGGATTAAAACAGTAGTAGAGTACCAAACATTGAAATTGACAATAGGCCAAGTTTATATCACATCAAAACGTAATGTCTAATTAGATGGTGAAATTAACGGAAAAATTAAATAAGTGCAATTCAAAAATTATGTCATGTAAAATACAACAATTGAAATGTCGTGATTTTTTTTGTGAATGCTCCTTAAACCTTATGATGTAAAATGTAGTCAATCCTTTAAGTCATTCACTTTTTTAACCAAATCAACCCTCTGATCATGCCCCATATCATATACTACAGCTAGAAGATCCAACCCAAACGAACCTTGACAGCACCCATGAAAATTAGTAAAAGTATTAGACCTAGTAGGCCCAGTAATATCTTGTTCAGTTTTTGCTGTTTTGGACCTTTGTGTATCAGAAAGAAAAGATAATATTTAAGAGAGCTTGGGAAATAAAACTGGATGAAATAAACCAAATAAATCCGCAATTTTTTTTTGGTACGTACCATTGAACGGTTGAAAAATCAACAGCAATTGATGAAATTGGTGTTTCATCATAAAATCAATTGGTAATATAAGGAGTAACCCAATATCATATAAGCACATAGCAAACCTTGTCCCTCACCAATGTGGGACAACTCTCAACATGCTCCCGCACGTGTGGCGGATTTTCAAGCCTACATGTGGACAACAACTGGGTGACGTGGAGCGCGTGTGGCCGTTGGGCTTCACACGTGGACAACATTGCTCTGATACCATGATGAAATTGGGGTTCCACCATAAAACCAATTGGTAATATGGGGAGTAGCCCAAGATCATATAATCACATAGCAAACATTGTCCCTCACCAATATGAGACAACTCTCAACAACAATCATATAAGAATCTAAAAAATCTTTTGCAACAATTAGATGTTGCATAAAACTCGTACCATAAACAAGATCTAAGATAAAAACCAATGCGGATTTTTTTAAGATTTCAAATTTTTAGATTTTGACAGAGTTCTTCCAATCTAATGTACCAATATATTTTCTCAAAAAAAAATGTACCAGTATCAAAATGTTCTGCAAGGATGCTGCTAATAGATTGCAACCACTCTTATCGTTTTTAGGTTCGGTATTAGACTACACTTTATTTTCAATTGCAATTCTTTCGTCTGTCAATTTTCATAGTAACAACATCAACAGTACAAAGTTGTTCATCAAATCTCACATTATCAAGTTCATGTAAAATCTATTCTTTCGTCAATATGAAATTTATCTCAATGCATTCTCACATAAGAAAAGGCCAAAGAATAATCTTATCTTTGATTTGTTGTCTTTCTTTCATTATTGTTCTCATCTTTATCATATTCCACGTGAAATTGGTTGTATATGTGATATATGTAGAGCCTTCTCGGACACATCTAATAGATTCTTTGCTTCTAACATCATGCATACATTTGATTTTCTCCTCTCGAGTAGGAGCATCTTCAAAGGGTCTTGGCAATTGGACATGCTGCTCTCTAAAATAGAGCTTAATTATAAATTTGGGTTTTTATTACAAATGAATTGACTCACCCATTAAGATGGTTCTTGAAATTGAAAATCTATCAATGTAGTCCTTGAAAATGAGTGTCGCAAATGAATGTGGTCATTCCGTCACAATTCCATCAAAATTTTGTTATGTGCTGACATGACACATAACTGAGTCCTACAAATCTAATTAAATATTAATATATAAATTAAAATTATTTAAATAATGAAACATATTTTTATTTTTGTATAATTAATATTTTATTTCAACTGTAATTGGTATGAGTTTGCAATTTACCCACAGTTGAGTTTGGTCTCTCTTTCCTCTCTCCCTCCTTACTTCGTCTTCCCCAGACCTCTTTTCCCATTTTGTGCCCCCAGAATTCCCTCTAACATTTTTTTTCATGTGCAATTGCCCAGACCCTTTCGAAGATGCTCCTACTCAAAAGAAGAAAATCGAACCAGTATGCATGTTGGTAGAAGCAAAGAATCTATTAAATGTGTACGAGAAGGTTGTACATATATCACATCTATTACTAATTTCACGTAGAATATGATAAAAAAAAGATGAGAACAAAAAAAAAAAAAAAGACAATAAATCAAAGGTGAAATTATACTTTGGCCTTTTCTTTTGTGAGAATGTGTTGAGAATAAATCTCATATTAATGGAAGAATAGATCTTGGATGGACTTATAAGTAAGTTGAGGTACTCATCATATTACCAATTTTTATAGTGTTACCTTAACTTTCTCTATAATGAGATTCTTTACTTGTCTTGGCAGTTGTTCAAATTTCACATCTCACGTCAGAATAAAATTCTTCCCCGTTTCTATAAACTTCTCTCCACTTCTCTCATTTGATTTCATTTTCTTTTCAACTTCCAAATCCTGTAACCATTCTAGGTACTTATATTTGTCAAATTTGTTTATATTTTGGATCGATTGTTCTTGCTTGCCAGATCGGTAATTCGGTTTGTATTCCTTCTTGGAACTTGTTGCCTCCCATTTGGTTACCCTTTGGTTGAAGATCAAGTTATAAGGTGAGTTGAATTAATCGAATTATAAACACACACAGAATAAAATGCATTATTTTATTTATTTGTTTATTAGAATAAGATGAGTTGAAATTTATTAGTTTATTTTATTTATTAGTGGGCTTTATTTTCACTTAGAAAAGTGCTCACATGACCTATTAACGTTGAAACTGAATGATAAGTGCTTCTTTCAATTGCAATTAAGGATGTCATCTGACTAATCTATGTGCATACAATCCATGCAGGAGAATAGGCCCTCCTCAAGTGTTGTTAGACAAACTGACTTTGTTTCATTTTGTTATTCTCACTTCTTCTTTTTTTTTTTTTTTTTCCCACATATGCTTGATTGACATAAAATCTTATTAAATAAACAGGTAGATTGAACATGGCAGCTATAGTTATTCCTACAGTTCTTAATCATGAGAACTATCGCAAATGGAGTTCTCGGATTAAGACCTACTTGTTGGCCGAAGATCTTTGGGACATCGTCGAAGGCACCGATAAACTTCCTGAAGAAGAAGACGCTGAAGCTGAACGTGAGGCTTGGAAGAAGAAGAATGTCAAGGCCTTATATGCAATCCAAAGTTCTTGCGGGGATGTTATTTACGAAAGAATCGAGTACAAAACCAATGCCAAAGAAGCATGGGATGCTTTGTATGATTTTTTGAACCCAAGATATACACCATATATAAGCGATACAGGTACGTAGTATATACATGAAAAGGTAAAGGAAAAAAGAGGAGCTAATAAACATATATATGGCAATATGGTTGTACCTGGTAGGTGATCTATGATCTGATCTGATCTGATTTGATGAGAAATATTTTGTACTATTCATAATTAAGATACACATGAATTGGAAACGTAGAAAATGAAAAGACAAATTAAGAATCGAATGGTACCATTTGAACATCAAGATTTCCATTTTCAGATGAGAGATCACTTGTTGAAGCGTATCCAACCCGGATTGATGGTGATGCTAGGCCAACCCCAAATGATCGTCATGCTGCAATGGAAGAAGGGCTCAATGCAGCACATGGTGAGATCAGCAATGCCGACGATATTGATGCAACTTTCATCAAATACGTCAAGTCTAAAGATTGGGATAATGTGATCAAGTTGCTTCGCGAACATCGCCGGCTAGGAGGACTTTCAGTTTACACGGATATGGGAATTGAAGGCAAAGGTGGTACAGCACTTCACCACGCGATCAGCCCGTTTCCGCACATGGCCGTCAACGCGCGCATTGTTGAACAGTTGGTGGAGTTGATGGCAAAGGAAGACTTGGAAAAGCAAGACGGTTTTGGTCAGACAGCTTTTTTCCGCTTAATGAGTTATCATCCAGAAAGGGTTGAATTAGCTAAATGCATGCTTGAAAAGAACGACAAGTTACTTACTATTTTGTGTCGTTATGAGGGCAAGAGACCTCTGGTTGTCCTGGCAGAGACAATGGAAAATGCGGAAGGAATGGCTCGCTATCTTTACTCCGTCACTCCACATGAAACATTAAGAGTTACTGATGGCGCTCAACTTATTTCTCTTGGTTTTAAGCTCAACAGATTTGGTACAATTATTCTCGGCATACTTGCAATGTCAATCTTTTCCCGTCTGTTTTCTTTTGTTACAAGTTTTTTTGTACACACTTACAATGTTTTTTTTGACACACACATATGTGTGTGTAGATATTTCGTGGGATTTGATTCAACGTTACCCACAATTGGCCATGGCTAAAGACTACAACGAGAATTTCCCCTTAGTAACATTGGCAAGTAACCGTCATGCATTCTTAAGTGGGTGCCGGCTCAACTTTTGGGAAAATTTGATCTATTGCGGTTAGTGCACACTATTACTTTTTATTTTCTCCTCATATTTATGTGAAATTGCTCCAATGACTAGGACTACACATCATCACTTTTTTACTTTCATTGCAGGTTACAAATTGTTATAAATATGTAAATGCATATAATCTCTTAATTATAGGATTAAGAGTTGAACGAAATCTTTAATTGTAGGATTTGAACCAATCCTTAATAACTTAAATTCTCGTATATAAAATATAACTTAAATTCTCCTATCTAAAATATGATATCTCTGTCTTCTTCTTCTATAATTCCCTCGCTTGAACACCGTTTGCTAGCTCGTTCAAACTTTTATTTTTTGTATACATAATTAACTTAAAAATCTTGATTCACAAGAATATTTCGTGGAACTAATGATTGGGCTTGTGTTCTTATCTTGATAGGTATACGCATAACACCTCTTCCTTCCATTAATGATAATCGTGTTGATGTTCAAAAACCTGAAAGTGGCCAGAGTGATCAAAGGCATCTGTCAAACAAAAAGGAGAATCAGATGCCTCTCTCAGACCAAAAAGAGAATCAAAGGCATCTTAGTTCCTCAGGTATTTTATATGTTTGCAATGCAATATGTTTTTGTTAATGCCATGGTAAATTGTTCCATAATTCTTCGATCATTCCATATTTTCTACTTAGGGTTATAAATAAACCGAGCCATATTACACTCTTCAAGCTTGGTTTATTTAACGTTTTTGGAGCTCAAGTTAGCCTTGACTTGCTTATGATACATGCCGAGATAGACTGAGCTTAAAAAACTCATGCTTGATAGCAATTAATTTCGATTCATTTACTAGTCTCAGTTGCTTCTATCTTGTAATAAAAATTCACAGATTGGCAGCACATTAAGAAATAAATATAAAACACAATTACTATAACACAAAATTTTCAATCATATCAAATAGTCATATAAACGTCTTTTTCTTTTTTGAATAATTGGAAACCAGTGGGAGGCCAAGGCATCATGCATGCGGTTTCTTTTGAAACCAAAAGGATGACGGGACAAGATATCAATCTTCATTTCAAAATGAGTGAAACTGAAAGTCAATCTAATTTAGGAAAAAAAAAAAAGTAAGCATAAATCTCAAAAGTAAAATCTCAAACATGATAATCCTATGTGATTGGTTTAGTGGAAAGCTAAAAAAGATTTGAAACACCTAACCTGAGTTTAAACTCACATGGATGCACTTTTTCGAGTCATCGGCTCTAATTTAATATATCATTTAACTCGGGAGCTAAAATTACACTAGCATCTCATGTGGTACCCGGACTGCATGGAAAGGGGAATTAGAATCCCATCAATGTGTGGTAGGATGACTCTTATATTAAAAAATATCAAAAATAAATAAATAAATTCTCCAACATGATCATTCATTGTAGACAAACTTCTTGAATGGAACCTAGTTCAAGTTGTCTCGTGAAAAAATGAGTTGCTATGAGCCAAAAATACCAACATTCAAGTCGAATTGTTTCTTATCCAATCGATCATAAACATAGTTCTTTATTTTATTTTTTTCATGAGCCGAACTTTGACAAGTCGAATATGAGCCAAATCCAATACAATCTGAAGTTGTTTCGAGCCGATATATATTCATATTCCTATTGATGCAAATATTCACATCTTTATTCCATTGTTTATATGAATTATACATTCTCATATGCGTTCCGTTGTTGACAACCCTATTTTATATTGCTTTTCTAACGTATATAGTAGATTGTAGTTACTAGATATAATGAGTGAGTAATCTGACAAATAAGAGAATTGAGTAATATTATATTTATTATATTTTTCGTATAATATTTGTACTTTTTTTGTAATAGAGGTATATGGTCTACTAACACAAGAAAATTATTAAAAAAATAATACAAATCAGATATGAAAGATGCAATAAAAGTAACATTTTTGTAAGATAACAGAAGGAAACCAACATAGTACGAAGTAGGACCCATTTATTGTAAATGAAAATGTTTTTTATTTTTGACCATCAAATTTGACTTGTAATGCAGGAGTGAGTTTATTCCGAGGACTAGTCATGAATCTCCAAAAACTTTTGGGTAGGCCACGTACAGATTCATATAATCAATCATATCGTTAATTGACTTTGTGATGATTGTTTTATTAATTTTCAATATTATTTTTTAATGATTATAACTTTAAATTTGTTTTATTGAATGAACATAGGAATCAATCGCATATATGAGATGAAATTGATACATGAGCGAGTCAAGCAGTTTTTACCTCTCATGTGTAAAGCAAGTGGATACTATATCCCAACAGTAGCTTTGTGCGTGGCAGCAGAACGAGGACATGTGGAGTATATTATTCATTTCCTTAAACAAGCATCATCTCGCAGCATTACAAACGAAAAGGGCCAGAACGTGTTTCAGATTGCCGCTGAACGTCGTCACCATAAAGTTTACAATCTTATATATGCCCTTGATGAGTTACTCAAAGAAGATCCATATCAAACACGAATACAAGAGAGAATGGGGTGGACAGATAAATTTGGCAATAATATGTTACATACAGTAGCAAGAATTACCTCAGCGTCACAGATTTATCACATTCGAGGTGCAGCCCTGCAAATGCAAAGAGAACTACAATGGTTCAAGGTGACTTTTGATCTATCTATATATGCTTAATATTATGCCTATGTGTCGTTTATATATATATATATATATATATATATATATATATTGTTTTTCCATTGAGAACTACCTACTATACTATCGTTTTATGTAGCTTAAGTAATGATTTTGGGTTATGTGGTGTTTCAAACGACAAATGTTGAAGGATTTATATGAGAAGATAAGGATTTCATAGTCACAACTCTGAAAATATTTGTCGTCAAAAAATGCAGGAGGTGGAGAGCATTGCAGATCCCAAGGATTGTGAATCTGTAAACGTAGATAATAAAACACCACGACAAGTATTTACAGATAGTCACAATGAAATGGGTAAAGAGGCAGAAAAGTCAATGAAGGAAACAGCAACTTCTTGTACAGTTGTAGGTGCTCTCATTGTCACCATCATGTTTGCTGCTGCAATCACAGTTCCTGGTGGAAATAATGGAAATACGGGTCTTCCTGTGTTCTTAAGTGAAAGGGTATTCACAATATTTATAGTTTCAGATGCAATCTCACTCTTTTCTTCTACAACTTCAGTTATCATGTTTCTGGGGATTCTCACGTCACGCTATTCTGAAGATGATTTCCGCAAATCTTTGCCCACAAAAATGATAATAGGCCTTTTCACCCTCTTTTTATCTATCGCCACCATGATGATTGTCTTTTCTTGTGCCCTTTACATTATGCTTGAAGGGAAATCATCGATTGTTATTCCAAGCATTTTGCTTGCCAGTGTTCCAGTTACCTCGTTCATATGGCTGCAATTTCCATTTCTTGTTGAGTTAGTTATTTCCACGTATGGACCGGGGATATTTGATAGGAACCAAAAAAAAATTGTTTTGAATTCCTATGTTATCTTTAGTTAGGTTTGTATTTGTGTTAAAAGTACGAAACTCACATTTATGTTGTCTATATGTTAAGCTTAAAAATTTGTCATACATTAAGAAACTTGTAAAAAGGAGCCAATATATGCGGCTTTCTATTTAGCCAATGATGCGTGTGCATTTTCTATGTTCAATAATTTATGTTCTTCCATCCTAAAAGAAAATTCCAACTTCAATTTAAACTTATGAGTTTTTTTTTTTTTTTTTTTTTTTGATCTAGGTACCCTTGTTAATACTGTAGAAGAGAGAAAAAGAAAGGGGATTTTAAGAGAAAAATGTTATATTTCGTTATTTGATTACAAAAATGCAATTAGAATTTAGAGCATCGCTATATATCGGAAGCTGTTGCTTTTACTGATTACTATCAATACAATGCACAGCGCACTACACACTGACAACAAACACTTAGCATGCTCTAAAAAATTTCTCACAAGTTTGGACTTTGAGAACATGAGAAACCTTTTCGAAAATGCTATCAACGTTAACAATGATGAATTATAAGACATTATCTTATGACATATAGTGTATCAATTCGTATTTTGGATACACTAAAAATTTTCTCTCACAAGAATCACAATGGGCCAAGATACATGCATTAACCACTGTCCATATATAAATTGATCACCTAGAAAGACAATTAAAATTCCTTGGTAGAACTCTCTACCAACTTCCAATTTCAAGGAGTATGATTTTTTCCCCTCTAGGTGTCTTTCTATTTGAATGATTACAATTAAATCACGTTAACACTTTGTGTTGACTTCTTTATAGAGAAAAATAAAAAGAGGAAAGTGAGAGTGGAGGAGAAAGAATTCTACTCTCAATTCCAATGCCTGCTCTAAGCACTCAACCATCACATTCACCAATGCATGTAAACAACACATGCATTCACCTTATAGAGAAATTTTTCAACTCAGAACATGGATCAATATACCACGTGTTATAATATAAGTGAAGAGACACTTAAAAAAAAATCTCTCCGCTACTTGTATCATGCTGTGTTTTGAAAACACTAAAAAATCTCTTGAATTATACCTCCACTAACAAAAAGACAACCAATTTATGTGGTTGTTAAAGAAATGTTGAGAGCATGGGATACATTGTCTTCTTCTTCAATCATAAATCCTTTTTACAAAAATTCGTCCAACTCCTTTTAGAAGTCGAATTTGAATCAAGCTGAATATTTTTTTTTTCTTTTTTGTTCGAAATTAGTCTGAACTCAATTATTTTATCCAAGTAAATATGACTAAAAAACTTTTCTCACTTTGTATATTTCTATTTTCACGTGTGAACGGTTGAGATTTAATTATTAACTCCTTTTTAGTTAAATCTCAACTATCATTCATTCGAAAGAAAAATGTGGGAATGAGAATTTTCAGCGTGCAAAATGTACATAAACGGGAGGGTGTAATTGATGGGCGACCACGTGCCGTAACGCAAACCCTCACGTGAACCCAATTTCACATAAACACGTCCGACTGTCCAAACGAACTCTCTAGAAGAACAGAATTGAAAACTACGATGTCTAATCTCCCCTTCCCTCAATATTTATAGACGTACCCGCCTCCTCCGGCCACCGTCTCAAGCTTCCTCCCTTCCCTATTGATTCGCAAAAACCGAAGACACTCATGGCGGAGCATTTGGCTTCGATATTCGGGACGGAGAAGGACCGAGTGAACTGCCCTTTCTACTTCAAAATTGGGGCGTGTAGGCACGGGGACCGCTGCTCCAGACTCCACACCAAGCCCAGCGTCAGCCCCACGATCTTGCTCTCCAACATGTACCAGCGGCCCGATATGATCACCCCCGGCGTCGACGCCCAGGGCCAGCCCATCGACCCCCGCCAGATGCAGCGGCACTTCGAGGTTTCCCTCGCCCTTCTTCTTCTTCGTGTCGAAAATCGGAAACCCTTTTGCCGTACTTGCTTTAATTTGATGTTGGTTTATGCTGTACGAATCATGATTCAACAGAAACCGCTTTGATTTTGTGTTGTTTTTATTGGTAGGGTTGTTTGATTTATCATGGATTTATATGTTGTTTCTGTGGATTAGGGTTTATTGTTATGTGGATTCCCCGTTTGTGAAATTTTCAGAATTGGTGTGATTAAAAAGTCCATCTTTAATATTTTATCATCTTTAAACATTTAGGGATTAATTTAAACTGTGAATTGTTAATTATATGATCTTAAACCGCCGAATGCTTGCTTTATACGAAGGCTTTGAAATAGTTGAAAACCTTATGAGAGTGTTTGTGCAAATCCTTTTGTATTCTGTATAGCTTATAAGAGTGTATGGGACTTTGCAGGAGTTTTATGAGGATCTATTTCTGGAGTTGAGCAAGTATGGCGACATTGAAAGTCTGAATGTCTGCGACAACCTAGCCGACCACATGGTATGTTATATTCAACAGAGAGTTAAGCTCTTGTTCGGTTTTCCTTGTTTATGTTTTTCGTTCAAAAGAAAGATTATTGATATTTGATTCGACTGGGAAATTTATTCATTTGGGCAGGTGGGCAATGTGTATGTTCAGTTTAGGGAGGAAGAACATGCTGCAAATGCGCTTCGGAACCTGAGTGGAAGATTTTATGCTGGTTAGTTTTTCTCTGTATCTTTCATCTTTAGAATTTGGTCTCAACTCTCAAGGTTTCTACTGGTTATCCTTTGTATTCTACGTAGGCCTACAATTTATTATATGCTGAACTTCTGGCCCTTGGTAAATCACTTGCAGGTCGTCCTATCATTGTTGACTATTCACCAGTGACAGACTTCCGTGAAGCCACCTGCAGGCAATACGAGGAGAATACATGCAACCGTGGTGGATACTGCAATTTTATGCACCTGAAAAGGATTGGCAGGTAAGTTTTCTTGTTATTTTTTTTTAATTGCAGAATGTACTGATAAGCTAATATTATTTTTACTTTGTTAAAATGTCAGGGAATTGAGGCGTGAATTATTTGGGAGCTATAAGAGAAGGCATAGTCGCAGTCGAAGCAGGAGTCGCAGCCCTTACCGGCATCGTAGCTATGAAGAGCGCTCTCATGGTAGCCGGGGTCATAGCAGAAGGTATGATGATGAGGATCGCTATCCTGAAAGCTGGAGCCGGAGGAACAAGACTGTAAGCCCCGGTCGAAGGAAAGGACGCAGTAGAAGTAAAAGCCCTGGAAGAAGAAGAAACCACAGTCCGATTAGAGAAGGAAGTGAAGAGAGACGGGCAAAGATTGAGCAGTGGAACAGGGAAAGAGAACAGGATGAAAATTCTAGTAAGGTCAACACTGACCGAAGTAACACTAATGGGCATGAACAAATGGAACAACAGTACAATGGCCATGAGGAACGGCAACAATAGCAGCTTCCAGATAAATGAGGGTATGACTACCGAGATTATACGGCTGTATTCTGGTTTTTGCACACGTACACACACACACACACACACACACACACACTCTCTCTCTCTCTCACCCCCACACCCACACACTCGTCAATATATATTATACATGCTCAATCACGAAAGAAATTTATGTTTCAACAAGAAGCATACGTTCAATAAATATAGCTTACAGCACATTTTCCACTTTGCAGGTGGTGTGCAGGTTCATTCTGTGGTATGGAATTGAATTAACTTTGCATTTTTTATCATTCATATTGTGTGACTCTGTGCTCTCTGCATGATATGCCTCAATACATTCCTCCCTACTGCCCTAGATCTCTATTCTTAGATTGAACCATTCACTTCAAACAGTGTTCCTTCATCAGTTTGTCCTTTGTAGAAAACTTATTACGATTCCGTCATCTGTGACAACTACAAAGTGACGCAAGGGAAAGAAATAGAGGATAGGGAGAAGTCAAGAGTTAGGAGACCAATTAGGGTAAACCCTAGTTAAGCATTCCTAACAATACTACATTTATGTTTGGATGAAGAAATTTAAGATTACTAAAGAATTTTAAAATGACTGAAATTGAAATGACAGGATTTTATTTTCTAGAATTTGTAAATTTTCTTGTTTGGTTATCCTAAAAGAACAATGGAATTGAATACGGAATTTGTTATTTTTAAACTCTCAATCATAGAAATTGGGAAATGACACTTGTTTACATGGAATTTAAACTAGGGAATTGAATGTCCCAAATTCCAAGTTTTTTTTTTTCTTTCTTTCCACATAGAAATTCTAAATTTCTATATTTATGAATCCAAACAAGAAAATTGGTGCATGTCAATTTATAAATTCTGATTTTTATCCAAATTCCAAGTTTATTTTCCTCATCCAAATATAGTGTTAGTCTTCAAATAGGAAATTCTTTAGAGGCTTGATTATTTGAAGCACAAATAATCAAAAGTTTATCACAAAAAGTAAATTAGATTTGGGAATCTGTAAAGAAAACAATATAACGTTTAGTTCGTAGTAGTATAATATTCTAGCGTAGCCATCCCCCTCAGCTAAGAATTTCTGTTTGGGAAGTAGGGGCGGATCGCAGTCACTCTTGCATCTCTATATGAATAGGCCCCGTATATCTTTCTTGTTCAATTAAGACGGAAAAAGGTTTTATTTTGTTCTTATTTATGTTCATGAAAGCATTCCCTAGTTGATGTGTTGCAAACGTGTGAAACTTGTTTGCTTGTTTTGCATGCATCACAATTTCAGTCAGGATCTGAGACTACCACAAATCAAGAGTAGTGAATGATCGAATATCATGGTTCAGTCTTGGGTTTTGTTTCCTTCTCTCTTTGTAGCTTAATATCTTTTTTCTGTTTCAATTTACGGGAAAAAAAAAGTCGAGATCTTACATTCTTTACAAGTTTTGCAGGTTCAGGTTTCCCTGCTTCTATGGTGCGTACCTTTTTCTTTTCATTGCAGCTTACCATGGAATTTGTGTACAGGTTTGCTGGTGCAGTGTTTCAGGATTCAGGCGAATGTAGTGGTTATTCGACGTTTGAGGTTTCATTTCGGGAGTACGAAAGTATCTTTGAATTCCATGGCTCGAACAACTGTTGTAGGTTGTTTACAGTTTGGTAGTTGTAGTAGTCTAATTATGGTGCTGCTTGAGTGTGGCAACCAAATTCTCTTATGTTGTTGAACGAGTTGGTTGACATATTTGAGATTTCAAGGATTATTATTTGATGTTTTTAGTTGGAACGATCATATTAAGTAATTCGGTTACTGTTTTTATTTATTTGTATATAATTATTTTGGTGAATTTTAAAGCATCAAGTTTTCTTCTTTATAGCATTTTCCTTTGTTAAAATGCTCATGTTTACAAAATTTTAGACACAGGTAATTGGATTATAGTGCGATTAAAATCAAATTAGACTCTGAGATTCATGAGGAATATCCAATACAAGAGACTAAAACATAGGTCCAATTCAAGATATTAACTATAAATAACAAGCCGCGTATTTCAAAAACCTCGAGGACAACCACTACGCCCAAAACATTTCACACATCACCCTCTCTACTCTGAATTATCAAAATAATTAACATATCATAGGCGTGCAACGCTTCCGCACGTCCCTCTGATTCTACTTAGCGCCGTGCTTGGCCTTGTTGTGAGACGAAAGAGCGCCATCAGAGTTAAATGACCTGCAACAAGCAACACAATACATAAAAACCAGCAGCAAAATACAGTCCAACGCCAATAGTAGCGAAAATAAACTGTTATAGCCTTCACATACTTGCTGCATGTTTTGCAAGAGTGATCGCCGCCAGCAGAATTGGGTGTTTGTGGAGTCTTTCCGCCCTTCTTTGCAGGGTGTGGTGTTGCAGTGTGGGCACCCTTCTTTCCATCTGTAACAGATGCAACAACTTTAACAAGTCCATAAAACCAAGCACCAACTAAAACAAGGGAAATTATCTTGCTTCTTGTTTTCTGAATCGAACTAGAAATTTATATTGCATGTTGTGCAGTTTCCTGAATCGTTATGCATTTACATCACATGTCGTCCATAAAACATGCAAGAAACATTCCCAATACGACCACTAACGCTAGAAAACAGAAAGAATCATTGCAGTGATATTACACTAAAAATGCTTCTTTGTGTGTGAGAAAAAGGAAAAGTACCAGTCTTCTGTGGAGTAACTTGCTTTGCCTTCTTAGCAGAGACAGGAGTTTTTGGGGCAGACTCATTGGGCCTTTTCTTGGAGTCCTGCATAAATAATCAAATTATGAACAATTAGAACTCACAGAAAAAATAAAAGTTTAAAAACTAAAAGCGAAAAACACACTAACAAGAACCATATGAATTCATTTGATTACCTTCTTAGGCGTTGGGGTGTCCTCTTCTTTCTCACTGTCCTCATCATCTTCATCACTACTATCAGCTCCAAGCATGTCCTACAATACGAAACGCAAATTTTGAAAGTGATTACTAGATACAAGCTAGAAACTGGTAATCTAAAAGCTAAATCCAATGTTAACATTTGACCCAAGAACCTCCAACAACAAACAAGTTGAAACACAACCCACGAACAAATCTTCAGGACCAAAGAGGAAAAAAATAAAACTCAAACTAATTTTAGACATTGGTTAAAACCAGAACATGTGAAATTAGTTAACTTGTGTGCAAATAGTTCATAATCTGTAGTTTTTTGGTACAATTCATAACACTTTTCATAGCTATATTCTTATGAAACCCCTTTGGTTACCTCATCAGAACTTTCATCATCATCATCAGAATCATCTTCATCTGAGTCATCAGAATCATCCTCATCCTTAATTGGCTCTTCAATCTTAACCTTCTGCTTTCCAGAAGATTCTGGTTTGACAGCTTTAGTCTTGGGTGGAGCTGGCTTTGCTTCAACAATGTTACCTGTGCACAATCGAAAAACTGGTTAGAATGAACTGAACTTTCCCACACATTCCCGCGCAACAAAATAAAAAAGAGAAGTCCAAGTGCAGCATTTACCATTGCCAGTAAAATTCAGTGGGAGATCCTCTTCTGATTCACTATCAAAATCTACAAGGAAAATTGTAACCACATCAGCTGACATTGAATAATACATTAACGATAAACACAAAACAGAGAAGTAAAATATAATAGAACTTACCAGATTGGTCCTCGTCGGATTCAGTGGCAGCAGAAACAGCAAGTAGTCAAGGAACACATGGAGAGACCAAATATTGCAACATTCATCAACACTAAATTACAAAATCAGCATTAATAGTTCCATGCAATACAAAACCCCAGTTCATGAAAACTTGTTTTCCCCCAATGATAACTAGCATGGAGGAAAAAACATAATAATGAACTCATACAATTTTGATCCCCAAAAGCAATAGATAGAACTGCTGCATGTTTTGCATGCATTTCTACAAAAGACAACTGAACAAAAACTTCATAAAACTACAGTAAACTAAATTTTGAGAACACAATGTAAAACCAGAGAGTACTATAAGCCAATTAACATGTTCCCAAATTTAAGGTGCTCACCCAACCCAATCCAACGATACTACACCCGCTGATGAAAAGAAATATTCAACAACCCAATTAAAGGTCATCCAAAGAAAGTACCAACCAGCTGAAAAAAATAGCATTAGGAAACAACTGACTGAGAACCGCTTTTAACATGAGACTCCACCTTATCATAACAAGATTAAGGCATTAAGAAAGAAAGTTTAAATATCATGCTCCAACAATCAATTTAGCATAAACACAAACAATTGAAAGGATATTTTGCAATGTAAGTTTTATAACCACAAAAGTGGACACTCCCGCTTTTCAAGTTGTGAGAGAGCTCGAATTCTTTGTCAAAGACCAAGTCAAAGGGAATCTGAGGCATTTTATCAGATGAGAGATTTGCCAAAACAAGCTTCTGGTCTCCGACCTTGACATGGATAACACACTGATCACCTCCCTTCTTTAACTCGCCCAGAGTTGCCTAGCGAACAAGAAACTATTAAGAAACTTGCGAACGCATGCCATGTACAGTGATTCAAAACAAAAATTAGTGGACAAATCAATTAACCTGTGACAAGTGGATAACATAGCTTTCCGCTGGCACTACCTTTAGAGGCTCTCCAGCCTTAACTTCAACACCTAAACCAACGAAAACGGAATCGTTATTCAGAGTACAACAATAATTAATAGCATAACATCTGCAAAGACAAAATATCCAGGTACATTTCATTACATAACCACAAAAAGCACATTAATCACCACTGTCCTTTTAAATCCACATTTTCTACAAAAACCCGAATAGGAAACGATGCAGGATACCATTTTAAGAGACCGTAAACCCGAAACGCTCATGGAAATCGTCAAGTCAAATAATTACACCGATTTCTGAACACAAGAATTTTAGCAATCACAACAATCTCAATCGCAGAATCACATTCATAAAAGTTATCGGTAACGGAATGCAGAGCAAAATAAAAACACAACCCGTAAGCCAAAAATTTTCAAACTATCGAACACAGAAAGCAAGTTTTCTCAGAGCAGACGAGCAGAGCACACAAATCATAACAGTAGGAAACCCTAGACAATGAATTCATGCGAGCGAGACGAAGAATAGAAAGAGATATAGATAGAGACGAATTACCCCAAAACTCCATTGAAGAACTGTGAGAAAGTGAGAGAGAAGGGGGGCTAGGGTTTTTGAGAGTGCGCGACTGAAGAGGCGGAAGATGGAGGGTTTAAGGGGCGTTTTATAAGCGAATTGCCGCCAGGTTTCGTGCTAGGGTTTTTGAAGACTTCCTTGTCAATCGCAGTGTGGGGATGGGCCTGGGCTTTAGTGGCCCAGATCAGAACGAATGATTTCAAAGAAAACTTCCCGTTGGACGTATTTCTTTCTTGTTGAATAAATAAACCTAATCAAGGTTACAATTAAATAAGATCTAATTACCGACTTGCCAGATTTTAAAAGATGTTATGTGCCTCTGATAGGATATTAATCCGAATTATAATACAAAGGAGATAGATTTTCAAACGAGCAATTTTATATGAATCCAATCTGAATTGTATTAATTTGGTTACCATTTTTACACAACGAAAAATTATAGTTCTTAATATCTTAAACACCCTTTTCGGATAAGAATCTCCTCTTCCTTCCTTAGTAGTAATCAAAGCAAACTTGAAGAAGATAACCGTAAGACAAATTTATTATGTTCATAATTGTCAGTTTATAATATTCATCCCAAAACCATATAATCAAAGTTTTAATTATTGGATTGAGAAGATATTATGAGTGGAGGTAGACGACATGGATTTGCTCTTCGAGGGTATGGTTTTGTTAACTTACCCCTAATATCCAATAAATAATTGTGACATCCTACATCGCCCAGGGGAGTGATCCTTATAAGTATATTCTCATTCCTACCTAGCACGAGGCCTTTTGGGAGCTCACTAACTTCGGGTTCCATTGGAACTCTGAAGTTAAGCAAGAAGGGGGCTAGAGCAATCCCATGATGGGTGACCCACTAGGAAATTGCTCGTGAGTTCTCAAAAACAAAACCGTGAGGGAATGGTAAGCCCAAAGCGGACAATATCGTGCTACGGTGGTGGAGCGGGCCCGGGAAGTGGTCCCACCCGGATTGAGATGTGACAATTTGGTATCAGAGCCTAACTCTGGTGCGTGTGTGCCGACGAGGACGTCGGGCCCCTAAGGGGGGTGAATTGTGACATCTTACATCGTCCAGGGGAGTGATCCTTATATGTATATTCTCATCCCTACCTAGCACGAGGCCTTTTGGGAGCTCACTGGCTTCGGGTTCCATTGGAACTCCGAAGTTAAGCAAGAAGGGGGCTAGAGCAATCCCATGATGGGTGACCCACTGGGAAGTTGCTCGTGAGTTCCCAAAAACAAAACCGTGAGGGAATAGTAAGCCCAAGGCGGACAATATCGTGCTACGGTGGTGGAGCGGACCCGAGATGTGATCCGCCCCGAACCAGAATGTGACAATAATCCCCAATTGGAGGATTTGGAGAAACATCATCACCCTCGTTTTTATTTGATTGTGTCACACGTATGTATAGATACTCAACCTTTGATGTTGTGTTAGTAGTTTCCAAAATTTAAAATTACTTGAGGGAGATAACAGTCGTCGGCGATCTTAAGGAGATATTTTGCGCTCACTTGGGTTCGTTTTGCAAGAAATTATAGAGGGTACAGTGGTGTGCTAGCTTTTGGCTTATTCGTTGTAGATGTAAAAACAACAATGATTACTCTTTTTTATTTTCTTATCAATATTGCAAAATACCAGTTCCTAATTAAATTCTAAAGTAAAACAATTTAATTTAAAAAAAATCCAAACTACACATAATAAAAAATTACAAATAAAGAATAAACACTAAGAGGTAAAAGAGTAAAATTTAATTGAAAAAAAAAAGAATCTAAACTAAACATAAATAAAATTACAAATAAATAATAAAGAATACGATGTAAAGAGCAAGATGCTATTTCTTATTTAATTATGGGCAAACTGGGAAGTTGAATTGAAATATTTTTTTTTTTTTTAGTTGGTGTAGAAAATAAAATAATTTGATCTAAATAAAATTTCCGTTTTCAAAATCATGTTCAAAGCTGGACATTAATGAAGAGATTCTAAATCATTCAGCTAGATTTCAAACATATATCTCTAATACTTTTAAATGATTCTAAATCTCACATTTCTTTTCATTTTGTGATCCTCGATCCTGTTTATGTCATGATGTGATTTAGTTTTCTTCATCATTCATTGCAAAGAAAACAATCTCACACTTAATCTGCAACCATTTTTCTCGAATAGTATTTAATTTATCTAAATATTGAGAATAAAAGCAAACTTGATTGAATTTGAAGAAATTACAAACTCATTAATATGCATTGAACAAAAAAACTAATTAATAAGTTGAACACACAAGGTTTTTTTTTTTTTTTTTTTTTTGAAAAAACGATATTATCTGCACCAAGGGGGAGAGAGTATGCATAGTCTCACAATGGGCTAACAATAATGTTGTTCAAATTCGTCTTTAGGCTTTCTGTCATCTCGCTTTTCCCCTTCCCTTGCTTCTCATGGACTCTCAGTATTGGCCTTGATCAAGGAGCTCTTCAATATGGTCCCTCAATGTTCGGCAATTCCGAGTAGTATGACTTGCGCACTGGAAGGAGCAAATACTCGTTTGGCTACTTCTTGGCCAGGTGCTCAGGTACGTAGGGGCTTCAGCCGTTTGAGAAAAAGCTTGTCCCTGATGTTGTGAAGGATGTTGTTGACTGTAATGTTCAGGTTTGTATACTACCTTGACTTTGGTGAAGCTGTCTTATCCCTTCAACCCCTCCTCTCGTTCTGACAGAGAGAGGAATGTAATTTTCATATCTATGATCGCACAACCAATTATTCATGATTGACTAGATCATTGATGAAAACAAAATATCCAAATACCCAGGGGATTCCTTAGATATGATGAAAAATGGACCTTGTTCTATCATTGATAAGAGGTCTTTCTATAAATAATTCGAATCATAGTTTGGAAAGGGGAAGGAGTCCTCAACTTGCACGGACAGAGAGAGATTTATTCAATGACATAGTGAGAGCTCTTAGAATACGTCGCCCTTAGGGCTTTCTATTTGATTGTATCAAACTTGTCTATCAATCATATAGACATTTGAGACTTATGCTAAATTCTCTTCCAATTATATATATGAGTGATACTGTTCACTCTTTTTTACCTTTTACACACTCTTTGTTATTTTTATCAATTGATCATCTTTAATTCATTCAATCAAATAACTGAAAAATAAGTGTGTAAATAACACCACCCTATACGCATTTGTCAATCATTAGACACATTTCGCACATCAACTTGAATATTTTGTAATTTAGTGCACTCACATAGGAGGCCACTGAATAAATAAGGAGGGCTAAAGTCAGTGACCAAAATACCTTTTTGTTTTGCTAACAAGGAACACTACCCACCTACATATACACACACTGCCACATGCATTTTTGCAAAAATAATTAACATCTTAATTAATTTTGCCAAAACTAATTAATCCCAATTACAACAAGAAATCCATGAACTTGAGCCACGCAAACCCAGTTCGTGAAACTTTCTCCGCCTCTTTCGAACACGAAGCGGACGACGCCGTCGCTCCCCCGCCGCCGCCACCGCCATCGCTACAGCCACCGCCCACCGCTATTGCGTTCGGGCATAGAAAAAAGTTCCTGGATCCCAACTCCATCAGCTTCTTCTCCCTATCCAAACCTGGCCCAACAAAAAATTATCGCAGTCAGTACGCGCTGGACACGTGTCAATCAATTGTATACGACGTTAAATGGTGGCCGTTGATTTTATAAAGCGAAAAGACAATAAGCGCTTACTTTCTAAGCTGAACTGCGAGTAATGGAGGTCGAATAACGACGGCTCAACGGAAGGCAAGATTGGACGGCGACCTTCCTTGCCGTACTGCCGCACGGCCGCCGCGACCAGATCTCCGACCTTTGATTCCGGCGACATCACAACATGTACGGCCCCGACGCTCCCCTGGATCGTAACGTTGAGGAGCAGCTTCGTCAGCTTCGGCCGTAATTCCGTCGACGACACCGTTGTTCCGACTGCGTTCCTGAACGACGCCATGTCCGGCACCGTTTTGGGCCTCCGAAGCTGCGGCGGCGGCGCCGCATCCGTGAACTGGCCGTGGAATGATGACGATCGAACAGAGAGCGGTCTCGGCCTGCGGTTCTTCTCTTCCGGCTGCCCCCTCCGGCTAGAAATCTTCGGGCTCGGCATTTTCCGTAAATAACTAATACAGGCGATGATGAAAACGGAAATAACTACTTTTGTGGCGTTTCGTTTTGAGCGGGAGGAGTGGTTCCGGTTACCTCAAGCGGCGGTATCGGAAGAACCTGGGGCGAGGGAAGCCGAGAGCAGGGGAAGAGCTTCGGCTCTCAAGTTTCCGGCAGCCGACAGCAATCATAACCTGCTTGGTATAACCGTAATAACCATAAATCCGACGAGGGCAAAAGCGAGAAAATGATGGAAGGGTGGAGAGGGCTCAACAAGGCTTTACGATCGATCGAGAAACCAGCCCCCGCCCTCGTATGGGTTTTATACCCGCAACGAGATAAGGGGTAGCCTAGAAATTAACACGAATTTTCCTAGTGTGGTGACCGGGTACTGGCTATTGCCCGTTAAATAGAGGGAGCGTCGTTTTGTTTGTTCTTTCAGTATTTCGTGGATTTCTCCCGAGTCTTGAATTCTTTTGTGATGGAAAAAATATCGAGTTAGCAATTTGATTAAATTTTACATAGCGTATATTTGGTGTTTTATATACCGAAATTTCGACTATAATTATATATAATTAGGGTTACGATTGTTTTTCTATCAGTTATTTGGGTTGAAGATAGTTTAGCAACTTTTTAGATGCATATTTTCTCTTTGGCACCTCACGGTTTATTGTTATTTTTCGTGCTAGCATTATAAAATTTTATGAAAAAAATATGAAGTGTCAGAAAATTCATAAAGAGTCTCACTCTGTAACTTTCTAAAATATACCCAAAGTCTTACTCGGAATTTGAAAATTTTAAAGGGGTCTCAATCTCATAATGCAGCAACTTTGATTATATTCTCGCTTTGTGTCAATGAAATAAAATAAGAATTTGAAATTAGTTTTCTTCTTTTATTGCCTTTAATTTCTTAACATATTATTTATCTCATCCACTAATTTACTTTTGAACTATTATAAATTAATAATTCGATGCTATTGCATTTAATTTTGGAAGTTTTAACAAAACACTCCCGGTACTGTTCACTTTTAACGAAAAATCACATTTATACATTTCCCTGGTACTATTCACTATACCTTTAAAAATGGTTTTTCATTAAAAGGGAAGTTTTTTTTTTTACTTTTCGTTAGTTTTCCTTTTAATTTTTTGCTCTAGAAAAGTTACAAATATCTCTACTAATTAATAAAACACTCATTATCAACCAAAATCTTATGAAATTACCAGTTTAACCCTCTAATTAAAACAAAACATGAATTAGAAATATGGGGCATAAATATAATTTCACACAACCAAATTTTGTTGTTTTTTTTAAGTCTCACCTACATGTAATCCTAACATATCTCTAATTAAAAAAAAATTAAAAAAAAAAAAAGAAAAAAAATACTTCACACTCCCACATTCTCTCACACACTTTGTGTGTGCCCATCTGCTAGTATTATTTATAATTGTTGCGTTCTTGAAATGTGGTTCTTTTTTTTTCTTTAACAAATGATATTATCTACATTAAGGAAGGGAGGTGAGTTTAGCCTTACTGTGGGCTAGCAATAATGTAATTCAAATTCGCATTTGACGAGAATCGAACCCAAGACGCCTCACTTATAAGTAAAGAGGAATACAACTTGGGCGTAGTACTAAGTGGCTTAAAATGTGATTCTTAGAACAATTAATAACTTATAATAAGTTAAAGAGGAATTTGGCTAAATGAAAAATATAGAAGCAATTATACGAGGACAATACTTTGAAATGATTAGAGAATGCCTAATATATATGATTAGAGAATGCCTAATATATTGACTTTCTGACATGATTCAATTAAACGATGTCTCATTAACACACCTCAACCTGAAATGTTCATTGGGACTCCAAATCGAGCTGTGTTGGCCGACACCTGGAGGGTGACGAAGCCATAAAGTGTAGTGATGTGGCAAAATGTGAGTAAATTTAAACCAAGTGCCTAAGTATAAGAGTGCGCTGTGAGCGAGAATGAATCCATTTCACATGTGATGTCAGAGCATAAGTATAGTACAATAAGATAGGGTGAGAATTATACCATCCAAGGTAATCATTTACACCAATATTTGCCAACAATCCTCATCGATATGAAAGCTTAGCTACTGAAACCTGAAGGGGCGAAAAACAAGGGTGAGTTTCCAAAATCCTCATCGCCGTAAAACAAGTATAGTTTCCAAAATATAGTTATTGCGTATAGTATAAAAATATTTACCGTAACCTGCAAAATCTCAAGAATTCATTACGGCACAATATCTCGTAACTAAGGCAGGATATCCAAAATCATAAAATCTTAATAGTGATATAAGTAAAATCAGGTCCTCAAACAATCTATGCTAGCACACAAGTCGGAATCGTCTAATGCGACCTTTACGACTGAACTGATGCTCATAAATCGCTAGCACATGAGTCGAAGTTGCTTAATGCAGCATGTACGGCAGAACTGGGTGTAAGCATAATATATGTTCTAGTGCTACAATCACATGAAGACTGGCGCTATGCGAGGTCACCTACGAGTCAAAGTTGCCTAATGCAACCTGTATGACAGGACTGGCACCTACTTAGATCTAAGGCGAGCGTGCGGTGTGGAGGTGAACATACACATGAAAGACTGGCTCTAGCCTTGAGTGAGTTCTAACACTGAGGTGCAGCAATGATGAGTAGACTACATAAATATAAGCATGCCATAATGATTCAATAATTTTAGTCAACATAATAAACTTGCCTCTGTATCCCATAGGTTTTAGCATATTTCATAAATTCCGTCATTTCACTAATTCTTATAAACTTTAGTCTAATCCAGGTGTATGTAAGAAATTCTTTTTCAAATGCATAAATGGAAACTATCAATCATATAAGTATGTAAGAAATTCTTTTTCAAATGCATAAATGGAAACTATCAATCATATATATAGACTGCAAAAAGGAAAAGACCCACTCACCTGAAGTCTACGCTACAACTCCCTAGCACGAATATGGAGGCATCACGAACGATCATTGTCTAGAACAATTATCAAATCATGTCTCAGAATTCTTATCGATAGAATACGTAAATTACATAAAACACATCCCCAAGGACATTTTAGAATGATTTTTAACCCATTGACCAAAAGTCAACCGTTGGTCAAAGGTCGACGGTAGGGTCCACAAACCTACGTAACTCGATCCGGAAGATCCACACCTCAGATTTTCGATCCGTAACTTCCCAGGAGTTTCAATAAGCTCCTAGAAAAACATCCTAAAGTTTTGAAACAATCCAATGGTCAGATCTCTGCCAATCGTCAAAATTAAGTGACGACTGACGTTTAGGTTTAAAAACTTAGAAAACCCATCTGGGAAGATCCATACGTTAGATTTCTAATCCGTCAGTTCCTAATATCCTTAAATATTACGTAATATAACGTATTAAGGTTTAGTGACGATCTAATGGTCGGATCGTCGAATCATAAAATGGTTAAGTGGCGTAGTATTCCATTTTAGGTTCAAACTATCAAACTATAACAAACGATGATTAAATTGAAATCAAAACATCGAATTTAACTTAAAAAGACAGTGTCGGCCCACTAGCCAGGCGCCGCCGCACGTGGTAGTCGGCCTCCCCAACTAGCCGGAAAATCGAACAACTCCAAAAATTCCCAAATTTTACAGAAATGAAGATCTCAATGAGTAGAGTAAGTTTCATACCTGTGGCCAAGTCCAATTTTGTCACATCCCGCCCCCGGTGGGACGACTTCCCGAGCCCGCTCCACCATCGTAGCACGATATTGTCCGCTTTGGGCCCTCACCATGCCCTCACGGTTTTGTTTTTAGGAACTCACACGAGAACTTCCCGATGGGTCACCCATCCTGGGAATGCTTTCGCGCGCTACTTGCTTAACTTCGGAGTTCCCATGGAATCCGAAGCTAGTGAGCTCCCAAAAGGCCTCGTGCTAGGTAGGGATGGGAATATACATATAAGGATCACCCTTGGGCGATGTGGGATGTCACAATCCACCCCCCTTAGGGGCCCGACGTCCTCGTCGGCACACACGCGGCCAGGGTTAGGCTCTGATACCAAATTGTCACATCCCGGCCCAGGTGGGACGACTTCCCGGGCCCGCTCCACCATCGTAGCACGATATTGTCCGCTTTGGGCCCCCACCACGCCCTCACGGTTTTGTTTTTGGGAACTCACGCGAGAACTTCCCGATGGGTCACCCATCCTGGGAATGCTCTTGCGCGCTACTTGCTTAACTTCGGAGTTCCCATGGAATCCGAAGCCAGTGAGCTCCCAAAAGACCTCGTGCTAGGTAGGGATGGGAATATACATATAAGGATCACCCCTGGGCGATGTGGGATGTCACAAATTTGGCCAGAAAAAACCTCAAATTGCCACAAAACCTACCGGAAACCCTAGAAAATAGTGGATGTCGATTCGTCATCTCCGATACTTTGATGCACCACCCAAGGCTTGGGACTGGTTCTTAGGTTCACAAGGAGTCGAACCATGGTGGTGGTCGATGGTGGTGACTTTGGAAACGGCAGATCGTGGCTGTGGGTGCCTTTGGACTTGTCAGATAAGAAAACATGAATTCGTCATGAAATCTTCACTAACCGCCGTCAAATTGGTGTGGAATTATAAGAAGGAAGGTCGTTGAGTCGAATGGTGATAGTGGGAGACTCCAACTCGCCGGGAAATAGATGGAAATGGCAACAGAAGAAGCTGCCAAAAACTAGGTCAAGGGGATTCGGCCCTGGTTAGCTACTCTCCCGTTTCTCTCCTTTCCTTCCTTGTTCTCTCCCCCCATTGGTCATCTCCTCACCTCCTTCTTCTAGTTGGTCCATCATCCTCTTTTCCCTCCCTGTTCTCCTTTCCTATTTGGGAGAAATATATGCAATAATAATTAGTAATTTTTACAAAAGTACTTTTCGGATTTGTAGTTCTATAAAACTTTCATCGTAACCCTGGCTTCGATTTCGATTTTGCTTACGTCTACACGTTTGTAACGTCAAATACTTCAAGAATACGGTAAAGTGATAGCCCATACACGTCACGAATGACAGTCAACAAAAGTCAACAATCTCGCCTTTAGTGGTATTTTCGTAAATTCACTCTTTTGAAATTTATAAAATTGTAAAATTAGGGACGAATCGTCACACTAATAGTATTCTTTTATTATTATTATTATTATTATTATTATTATTATGAAATTGGGCTAAGGCAATAAATGAGCAATTGTAATAATTTAGTTT